CGGAAGAGCAGGGACTACCAGAAGCCAAGGGACGGCTACTCATTACAAAGAGGGCGGCTCTTCTCATCCAGAAAGGCCTGGCTCCTCCCGCGTGGTTCTTCTCGTACACATTCTAGAGAATCCCCATAGAAAACAGGCTGATTTTGAGAGCTATAGATCAGCTACATGCATACTGTAAATATATAAATAAATCACATAACTGAATTGACGATGTAATAAGTAACCACTGCGATGGTCTCAGCAAGACAAGTAAAGCAATAAAAGCTCCAAAACTGCACCAAAAAGTAAACATTCTTTTGAGGAATTCCAGGACAAGCGCCTGAATCTTCTTGAAAGGAGCGTAAGGGCATGAGCGTCCTCGTTCAGCTCTATCCCGGGTATCTTCGGAGTGGTTACGTGTTACTGAAGTGTCTGACTCTCTCTATATTCCCCAAAATAACACACCTGGACACTCATTACGGATTCTCATGGTAGCTCTGGTGGCGGCTACGACATAGTGTTCAGTGGTTACGTGAAAGCCACAGAGGCCCCAGTGTCCTTGACCTTTCAGCCGAGTACAGGCTGACAGTGTCGACTCTAAACTTTTATTCCTTCTCTACTTCCTTTGCTAACTGAGGATATTGGTTTTTCACTGTGGCCTTGACAAATGGGTGGGCATTTAAATAGAGCCTCACGACCCCTTTCGAAAGCACTTGGTAAATGTTTATATTCTGGACTCTTGCAAAACTTTCACAAACGGGAATCCTTATCGTTTGTAACCACACGTACAAAGACTTACACACATCCATCAATACCCTAACCACCGTGACTCACACAGCTGACCACCACGCTGGGCTGTGTCCACGTCCCTTCCTCTCCCGGTTTATTAGACTTTTACTCTTCGACATCAAACACAGACCCATCCTCCTCTGAAACATCCTCTGATGCCACCATCCAGAAGGTTCCTCCTCTGTGAACCCCACAAATCATTCTCACTGGGCTCTTTCAGCTGGCGCGTCATGAATCTTGAGCTCTGAACCAATAAAGGAATGACCCACAGGGTCTGGGCAATGTGGGGAGCCAGGCGTTCTGCTGAGGATGATTATTGTGACGGTGACACACTGTATTTGGATGGCAAGTGAGAGCCCGCATGGATAAACTATATGTACCTCCTCCCGAGTCCAGATTAGTGATGTCGCCTTGACAGTTTAAAATCAGCCCGGCTGGAAGTGTTTACACCACAGGAATGAGCAAACAAACCATCCAAGCCCTTGTTTATTTGGGACCCAGCTGACCAGCACACCACAGGATGAGGCCCATTTCCCAGCAAACCTGTTATTACGTAAGGTGAAAAACATCCAGCGGATCGTGAAGGGCATTTATTCTCTTTTAATAGTTAATCTGGAGTCCGCCAAGGCAAAAAGCAGAAAAGAAAACGACAGACAAGAATCTGAATTGCTCTTCCCACTGGATTTGGAACTTTGCAAGGGATGGGAAAGGAGCATCCTGAGAATCACCTAAATTAGCGGCGTTTAAAAACATCTAATCAGAACTTCCCACGTTACTGCAAAGTATTAGTACACATTTCCGCAGGAACATACATGCATATTTTTTAATTTAAGAAACAGAAATCTTTAAGATCTCCTTTTTGGCAGTGTAACTACCTTGTTAAATCATAGCCAGAAGAAAACAAAACCTCAGCCTCTCCTTCATATTAATTCCATATAAATTTTATAAAGCACAAGGGACATCATACCAAACAATGTTTCTGTTCTTCTGCCTTTCAGTCACCGATGCCCTTAACATCTGCCCCTATTATTTTAATGGAATGAATCTGACAGTGACGTGGAGATCTTAGCACCTAGATGAACCAGAATGTTCCAAAATCCAGCATTTTGAACATTTTAGCTACAGCAGCACTGAATACAAACCTTCAGGGGTAGAAAACAAGAGTCTGGTCTGCACAACAGGATAACACTTCAAATCTTTCCTTTCCTGTTCCAGAGAAGACAGACAGAAAAGCCTGGAACCCTAGCGATTTCAAAGATGTTAATTTGAAGGTAAATAGTAAAGATGAGCCAATGAGTAAAGATCATCCGGCAGATGAGCCGAGAGAGGAACGCACCCTCCGACATTAATCGAGATTTTAAAGTCTTTACAAAGACTCTTGGGCATGTTACCTGCTTTTGTTCTAAGAAGCAGGTCAAATTGATGGCAATATTACCATAAAAATATAAAGCTATACATATCCCCAAATAAATTTCAGAGGAGGGGAAAAAAAACAGATTTGTTTTCAAAGGTAAAGAAAGGGAAAACAGGTATTTTGGCTTGAATAGAAATTCTCGAGAGAGCTACCTGCAAATGGCAGGGAATAACCACAAGCACCCTTTTTTTTTTTTTGCCTCTTGTCTTTTGCCAGAGTCACACATCTGCTCCACTGACATGTGAGAGTTATGACACTCGAAGAAAAAGTGACTCGTAACTTACATCAATAGCTTGCAAGCTCCAAGTCACCACTGTGTTGAAAGGAACAGGGGCTGGGGAAGGGACTAGGAGAAGAGCCTAATCTGAACCAGTGTGAAAGCGGAGAAGGAGAGAGAGACCCATTCCCTAAGGCTGGAGAATTTTCCCTTCACGCTCATCGAGCTGGAAGTTCAGATTCAGAATGAAAGCAGAGAGGTCTGGGGTTAAATGCGTCACATTCGGCAGCAGGTCCACATGTCTCGTTTCCCTGACTGAGAATGAGGCATCAGAAACTGGTCACCAACGGTCACCGGACGCCCTGCCCACGCCCCGTCGTCGACTCGCTCTCACCTCATTCCTCACTTAGAATTCAGTTGGAAAGCGCCTCAGTGTTTTTAAACATCCCCACTGCTTCTCCAAACCACCCTCTGCAGTTGCATGACTTCGGCTTCACGGATGTCAACAAACTTAGTCCTGGATGTCAGAGTTACTCGTCCACCCCCTGCCGAGCACTCGGCGAGCCTCGCGGGTGGCCGGCGATGCGCCCCATGACGCTTCCCTTTCCAGAGCAAAGAAGGCTGTGCTTGGGGGACAGGGAGGCTGGCAGATGTTGAGACTCGGGCAGACATTGGCTTCTTAGCCATTTTCTTAAGCATGCCTTCCTCTCATGAAGGGAGGCCGTCTCCCCGCTCCCGAGTCTCGTGACTAGATGCCAGCTCCCATCCTGAACGACCAGTCTGCACCGCCCCGCAGGGGTGACCACAGCAGTGCCCTTGTGCCCTCCGAGGCGGCCAACTGCCAGGGGGCCACACGGTAGAGGGGGAGGGCGGGAGGGATCTGGCCACAAAGCCGCGTGTCTGCCATGTGACAGCAGTTCCATTCCCCGGCATTCCGAAGAACCCGCTAAACACCCAGCATCTACCAGCTTCCACCGGAAAGCCAATGCTTTTGAAAATGAACAACAGACCGCCCCCCCAAGTCTCTCCTACCGCACTGCAGGGGTCTCCTTACAGTTTATAAAGTATTTTGAATGTTGTTTACATCACACCATTTCTGACCAGTTTCTTGTGCTTTGTACAAAAGATAACTCTGACTTTTTAAGGACTATAAAAATGGTGCTGTTTGATGTATAAACAATGACCCAATGTCCTCATTAGCAAAAGATAACAATGGATCATTTCGGACCTTCTTTCTGGCCAATATGTTAACCCGGCAATACAGCAGAAGGGTAAAGAGCGGCAGTCCCTTACTTGGGCAGCTTGTCCAGCACGGTCTTCAGCTCCTCGCATATGAGCTTCACGAGCCCGTTCTTGATGTTGCTGTAGGAGACGTCGATCATGAAGATGAAGGCGGGCGGGCTGGGAGGCTTACTCTTCTACAGGAAAGCAGATGAACCGCGTAAGCATAATCACAGAGCACGCGCATTTCACATCAAATTAAAACACTCAAGCTCCTGAAGGTCATCAGAGGTCTCATTTCACATCTGGGATAGAATGTCTGTGGAACTGAATCATCTCCCAGAACATGGTCTCTGATGCTATGAAATGGTAAAAGCTGTTTATTTTCCAGGGCATGACCTGGGTCCCACCAGTGACCACACGGCATTATGGCACGTGGCAGAGAAGACGCACTTCCGTAAAGATCCACAGGCCTTACCCCTCCATCACCCAAGGGTGGCGTGGTCTGGGGTCTTGCTTGTAACTCTCTACCTCAGAGGAAGCCATGTTTTGGAACTCTGACAAAATGTACCAAAAAAGAGTGCACACGGTAAGTACTGCTTGTTTCTGAACCTGCAGTAAAACCTCGTTAACCTGACATCATTACTTTCAATTCTCTTCCTAGATATGATTTTTTCAGTTTTAAGGATAGAAAATTACACGCTAAAATGTAATTGTATGATTTTAAAAATGTACTATGTGGATAAATACTTTCCTATTTCTAACATTCATGGTAAAAACCGGAATCCTTGGTCTTTTCTCTACGTGTTTAACGTAAGCGCTATAACACACAGCGGCAGCTACGCGGTGTCCGCAGCCGGCGGTCGGTCCCCTCACCAGCTGGTGTTCAAGTGGCTCGTGGGAAGTGGCTCTTCGGCTGGATCTTACAAAACATTTAGAGAAGAGAGCCACAGGTGGACACCTTAGCATCTCACACGAGGATAAAAATTAAGGCTAATTTAATTTAAATTTATAATAAATGACAAAAATGTTCTAAAAATTGCATTTTAGTTGTTATAACTATAAAATTGATGATAATATCTCCCAATTGTCTTACTGATCCATTCTATAACCACTACAAGGCCAGATAGAACATTCTTCTAATAAAAGTGCCTCATTTAAAATAAGAAAAAAAAAATTACAGGACTTAAAATCATCGACCTGAAAACTTCGACTCTCTGTCACATCCAAACTGACCAACAAGGAAATGAGGGAACCCTACTGCTGCCTAAGTGAGCAGTTCGCATTGCAAGTCCCCCCTAACTCCTGCCTCACCTGATTCGTGACACAGCCTCACGCCGATTCACACCGGAAGAAAACAGCGACCATTTCTACCAAACGCAAACCTCTTCGCGGCCGAGCCGAATGCGCCCTACCACTGTGTGTGCCCTCCGCAAGCTCCATCACGGGACTCTCATCCACTTACTCAGCTTTAACCGGCACCTCTACACAGGCAAACCCTCGAATGTTCTCTCGTTACGGTCTCGCCTGAGCTCCGGGCCAGCACCCAATTAACCAAGCACATCTCCACATTTCACATGCGGGTCCTGCCAGCACCCCACACTCGTGTCAGAAGTTAAGACATTTCTCCCACTAACTGATCTTTTCCATAAGAAACTTACAGAAAACACGATCCTTTAAAATCGTCTGGGCTTGAAATCGCATCCTCTCCATGGAGCCGTCCATCACCCTGACACCCGCGCCAGTCCACTGCGAAGCCCCCTGCGGCTCTTCTAGCTCCAGTACCCAAATCTGGACCCCCATTCCCTCTCTCCAAATTATCTTCACAGGTGGTAAAACGCACATAACACCTAGCACCGTCGCCATGCGTAAGCGTGCAGGTCAGCGCATGACACGCACTCACCCTGCTGAGCAGTGGTCACCACCACCCATCCCCGTAACTCTTGTTCTCTTACTAAACTGACGCTGTCCCCACTGATAAAAACTTACCGCCCTGCCTCTCTCCAGCCCCTGGCAACTACCAGTCCACAGTTTTATAATCGTCTCCGTGAATCTGACTGCTCTAGGTGCTTCGTAGGAGTAGATCACACAGCATTTGTCTGTTACATGACTGGCTTATTTCACTCTGCACTTGGCCCTGAGCATTCATCCATGCTGTGGTGGGTGTCGGCATCCTCTTCCTTTTTACGGCTGAATAATATTCCATTGAGTAGAGATCAACGCTTCTGTTTACCCATTCACCCCTCGATGGATGCCTGGCTGCTCCACCGCTAGGCTACTAGGACTGTGGGTGCGCACGTGTCTGCTTTCGATGACTCTGGGATATACACCCTGAAGCGGAACGGAGGGGACATATGGTCACTCTGTTTTTAAACTTCTTTGAGGAACTGCTCTATCACCCTCATTTTGTCTTTCTTGGACGACCACGCTAGCTTCTAATACGTCCCTCCCCCACTCTCCCCTCTCGTTATGAAGGCTGCTGTCAGAGTGACCGGCGTGAGGCACAGTGCAGGTCACGGCGCTACCGCCTCTGGGGACAGGAGCCTGACCGACCGAGTCTCAGCGCTGAGCTCAGAGGACAGCACAAGACAGAGTGCTTAACACCGCACCTGAGCGGTGAAGCAACGTGAGGATGGGCGGAGGGATGACCGGCCACCGCTCCCCCTGCCGTTTATTGTGCTCACGGCCTCCTGAATTAACACAACCACTTGAGCGGCTGGCACGCCAGACCCCGTGACACTCAGTTCAGACATGTATAAAAATCTCAGAGAGCAAAGACAGGAGCCGAACTCAGGGAAAGATAAAAGAGAGTCCGTGTCTCAAAACAAAGTCCCAGCTTCACCTCCCATTATTTCCCAGCACACATTCCTCCAAGCGATTTAAGTGTCTGCCATTTCAAAGTGTTTTCTGCCCAGAAGTCACAGTCAAGTGAGCCTGGGCCGAGAACCTGGCCAGAAGAGTGTTTTGTTTGGCAAAGGGTTTGAAAAGCCTTCTAACCTGAACGTGTTGGGAGGAAGGGGGAATGCAGTCTCGACTCCCCCTGCCCACGTACCAGGCCCACGTCCCTCCGCTGGCACGCCCGCCTCACACTGCAGAAAGCCAAGTAAGTCGCAAACACCGTGGCGAAGCGCTGCTGCTCACCGTTCGGCATCCCCCTCCGTGCCCAGGCGTCCACACTCTGCTCAGGGTTTATCCGGCTCAAATGTCACCACTCTGAATCCCCCTTGATCTTCCAAATCCTAAGTTATTATCTGTTGTTTTCATGGCACTATGACTATTCTACTTACAAGGCATTTACAGCATTTATATTCAGGTTTATATCATGATCATACACCTTTTTCATCGTCCACATGGGAAGCATCTCAAGGTCAGGTTCATTATCTTGCTAATTTTGTTCTCCCTCACGGCACGTAGCCAAGTGTCTTGGACATGTCAGACATCCAGTAAATGTCAAAGTGAATTAAAATTAACTGGAAAAACTACATTTTCATGGTTTTAAAAAAGACTGCTTTGAAAAGAGATTTTTCATTTCGGGTATACTTTATATGCAGATATACTCTGGAAACCTATAAGTGAAAACTTCTTAGTCATGTGACAGGCTGGGGTCTTCTTCTCCAGAGAACTCGATGATTCTAAATGCCTGTCTACAGACCCACAGGTACTGGAGGAGGACGGGGCCCTGCGGCCACGCAGACACGGTTCTTACTCCCCGCATCGCTCTCCCTGTGTACGCCCTGAGGCTGAGACTTGAGCTCGCTAAGCCTCAGTTTCCCCATGCAATGGTGGCACTCACCATGTGGGTTCAGCTAAATGATACAATACATAAGAAGCACTTAGCACAGAGTGTCACACATAGTAAATGTTCGATAAATGTCCACTTTAAAATCTAAAGTTGCTATTCGGACAAACTAAAAGAACAGGGAAAAATGTGATTTTGTAATTCTTTTTAACTTTGTAGGGTATTAAAAAATACACATACAAATTAAATAAGCTCTTTTTCTTTATCTAAATCCCCACGGCAACTATTATATTTTATTTACACTGTAAATTATAAGTAATTTTGAAGATATTTATAGCATTTTTTTTTTTTTTACCATGAATCTCGCTTGGAATAATAAAAGGAAGGTAAAGTTTACAAAAAGCTCTTCAAAATGTAGACATTTTCTTTGGTTCCCTGCCAGCTAGGTGAGCTTTCCCATCAATTAGATATCTGAAACACGTCCAGATCACAGAGACTTTTGTTCCCAGAAATAGATCTGACTCTTTGCTGAAGTTTCTACTAAAAAAGCATAAAACCAAGATAACGTGGCCTTTCTGGCAGAGAATCCGGAACCCAGAGCGTGCTTACAGTTATGCTCCGGTTGTAAAGATGAGCGAATGAATTCCCATCACCAGTTATGATGGCTTTATTACATTTAATTAGGATGTTTATGTTCTGCCTAATCATTCTTCTTCAGACAGCAGCAGTCAGGAACAAACTGTCCCAAAGTAATCAGTACTTTAGAGTATGTGTTGTGCCTGAAATAAAGCATCTGTACCAAAAGTTTCCCAAACTATGTTCAAATGTTATAACGTTTTAAAATAATAAAGCATTAACCTTTAATAACTAGTTCTCTATAATGTAGTAAAAATAAACCACACGAAGCACTAAAATAAATGCAAAGTTATGTTAATTGAAAAAAAATTCAATCAAATGAAAAAACCTCAGGTTAGGAAAAATGTCCTTTATAATTTATACTGAATACCTGGACTGGTCCCCCAGCAAACGACTAGAAAAGAACTCTGTGGTCAGAATCAGTTTCTGAACACTGGGCATTAGCAGGCATTCAAAGGAAGGCAATGACGACTCTGCTTCAAGTGTACACGTGGTACTTCGAATATCAGCGGAAGTCTGAGCTGATACCCATAGAGATGTCTTCAAATCACTGAAGAACTGTAAAGCCCTGCAAGGTACCTGTGATGATGTCGCCATCACTATCACACAGGAAAAGAGAAATAGACATTCCTGGGAATAGTCACATACCTACGAATTCATTCATTCACTCATTCACAAATTCTTTCATTCCACACACATTGACCACCTGCCTCCCCTGTGCCAGACACTGTGGTAGATGCCATAAATCTAGCTAGGACAACGTGCTTGTCCCCAGAGATATCAAAATCTATGAGGAGGGAAAACATATAAGAAGATTTAAAATCCATGGAGATAATTGCTAAAACAGACACATGGACCAAATTCTATGGGGCGAAAAACCTGAAGATTTAATAAATAACTAGCATAATGCAGCCAGAGAAAGTCGTGCGCACACACTCACACAAAATAAAATCTCAGCCAGGTGTCAGAGAGCAAGAGTCTGCCAGGTGAGGCCCACGGAGCACAAGAGGGTCCCTCATGTAAAAGCGGGGAGCCTCCGAGGGAGATGTGTTCACAGTAGGGGAAGAGTTTGGTACAAACGGAGACAGCTGAGGTGGCAGTCGGGGGCCCAACAGTTGACAGTCTCAACGGCAACTTAAATTTCAGAATCTCCTATTTTAGATTACGGCAGTGGGGGAGCCTCGTGGCTCCTGAAGCACAGGAAACCAGGGGCCCGGGGGCTGAGGGAGTCTCAGGGACTTTGAGAGCTTTCAGCTGTTGCAGAGACAGCCAGAGTGGAGAAGGGAGAGGCGGAAGCACGGCGATGGTGCCACTGGCCATGGAGGCTGAGCTTTTGCCTTGGAACGACTGACAAAAAAATATGGCAGAGGCGGCATTAAAGAACCGACCAGCAACTTCCAACGTGGCAGAGACATGAAAATTAAATTATTGCTTTCTATTTCTGGCACTACTTTTTCGTTTTTAAAAATGATGTCTGCAGTGGGTGGTTTGGCTCTTCCGTCATGTTGACGGCCTGGAAGGCTTGATCCGTGTCTTAGACATTTCTATACCTGCCATGGCCCCACCAAAATGCTCTGTTAGTGAGTCAAGAGTCAGTTCTTTACATGTGAAAGCTGTTCACATGTATTTGGCATCAGCGTATAAACACTTGAAGTCCTGAGAACACTTACTCTGCAGTAATCCAAAGTAGCAACGTATTCGTAAGATCCTAGAGATAACTCCGGCTTCTCGTAGTGGTCCAGTCTTCTTCCCATGTGGTCCAGATGTTGGAAATAGAACGGCGGGACTAATAAAAACAAAAGAGGAAAGAGAATCCTTTGTTTTCATAACACAGACAATTTAATAAGTTCTCAAAATTTATTGAGGAAAGGAGTTAGTGTGAGGGGGAAAAAGTATTTTAAAACTGGAATGTAGTATATTTTAAATATCCACTTTTGAAAAAGCATGTCTTAGAAAGAACAAGGGTTTTCTAGAAAATCCTCTTGACCCTTCTACCAGTTACTGATGACAAAGAACATTTATGATTTGGACCACTGTAGAGGGACAAGATAAAAGTACTGGTGTTCTGAAGCTGTCACAACCGAAATTTAATTACCCCTACTTAATTACCTCTTTTAAAGGGAATTCTGGCTTTTCTAACTATTTCCATTTTCAATACACCTAACGGAAATATACCTTGGTTATCTGAACTATAGTGTTAATACAATACTTATTACCCTTTGATTAAGAGATGTCTTCAGCCATGGCGACCGTTTAAAGTTTGGGCTGCAGGGTGCAGAGG